GACAACTCTAGCCCTAGTATATGAAATACCTAGCCTATCTTCTAGCATGCATCATTACTATCTCAATAATAACTCATAACACAAATAAGTAGGGGTAGTTTGGTAAATCACCGTTCGGGGTCTAGCTGATTGTACACACTCTCCTTCTCGTTGTACACACTCTCCTTCTCGTTTTTCTCTTAGATACTTTTACTCGTTTTAGAAAAATCTTTTCTCAAATCCTCAGTTTGAGTCCAGACTTACCCGAAGGTGCATCCGAATCCTTCAAACCAAGGCTCTGATACCAACTTGTAACACCATAAATTTTCAAAATGTCTCTGATGCCAACTTGTAACGACATGATTTTTCAAAACAAAATTTTCAATTTTAAGACTCATAAAACATATGTCTCATCATAAATTCTCAAAAACAACCAACAAGTTTTCAACACAATTATTCAAATCCAGGATCCTCTAACATGTTCCATCTCGAATGTATGTGTGTGTACAATCATACCAGCATCTTCCTGTTATCTCCTAAGGTACATGAAACACATAACATATAACACGGTAAGCAAGAATGCTTAGTGGGTTCCCCAAAATACCACATACAACAAATTTGCCACTCGAGGCTATACTCTGTAGGACCCTCCGGCCCATCTGTCTCAGCGGGAACCTCCAGTCCCGTAGCTCGTTGGACCCTCTGGTCCGGTCTAGCTTGTTGGACCCTTCGGTCCGGTCTAAGAAACAATAATATAGCATACAATACATATCACACAATCATGCATAACTCAACAAGCACATAAGACCCTATGGTCACACATAATTACCTCCCTAGGTAATGTATAGTGAGAAGACTCACCTGGCAAGCAGCTAGTAAATAACCTCGCTCCCGAATCTCGAACTAGCCTCCACCTTTCTTAGAAGCTCCTGGACAAGATAACCTTAGATCTACTGGCCTCCTTCACGATCCTTGCTTGAATTATCCCCTTTTCTTCCATAAGTAATGCACTAAACACTCAAATGCAAGCTCAAACTTTCTCTTTAAGCTCTATTGCTGATTAGGGTTTCTCTCAGGGTGAAGGAATGGTTAGTGAGCTGCAAATGAGGCTGTAGGTTCCCTTATATAGGCCCCAACCCCAAGAAATTAGGTTTTCTCTACCCAACACCTACTCAGCGAGTCAGCTCTCTGACTCGTCGAGTCTACTCATTAATTCCATGTGGACCGCTCGACTCTACTTGACGAGTTGGACTCACAACTCGCTGAATCACTCCATAAGTCTCAAAGTTAATCACATGATAATGCACCTGAAAGTTTGGATGTTACAAATATACACATCTATTTTAAATTATATAATCTTAATTCGTTTGAATGATTTCTACTCGCAATTTACACATGAATAAAATTATATATAATTTGTAGTTTAATATTATTTATATTTATTGTTATTGTTAACTAATTTTTTCAAATTTATTTACTTAATGTTTTAATTTATATCATTATAATTATATAAAACATCAAACATTATTTTTTAATTTTAAAGGTAACAATACAATCATTTATATAAAGTTATTTTTAACTATTGTTACTGTAAGTTATTTTAAGTTACTTATTTGGAAACTTTTAACGATTATAAAAATATCTTTAGGAAATATTTTAGTGAAATTGAGAACACAATTTAGTTTTTGCATTTATCACTTTTAACTATTTACAAAATACTTTTTAGTTTTTTAAATGAAACTGATATTTATATTGAAGTTGACATTTTAATGTTATATTTATGTTCACAATTTAAGTATTTTGTCCAAATTATTCAAAAGTTATAACTTTAAACCGATAATGGTTTATATATAAGAACATATTAAATGTAATAAATTAATATAATATGTTAAAGGTTAAAAACATAACTTTATAAGTAGAAGTTAAAATATTATTTTAATATTGAGATTTAGTTTATATACGATTACATTTTAGGTTTGATATTTATTTAACCTAATTAACCAAATTATATTTATTATTAGAAAGAAAAATTGAAAAGTCATGAGACTTTTAAATGAATGTGGTGAAAGGAAAAATGTTTCATTTATAAGTATAAATGATATTCATATATCAAGGTTGTAAAAATCGTTCGGCAGTAGCTCGGTGGTCGACTGACGATAAACGATTAATCAGACTCGGCGGGGATTAATCGGGGACCCTAAATTATTAATGAAATTATTTAAAAAAAATTAATATTTCCTAAAAAATTAAGTATTTGGAAATTTTAAATTTTAAAATTTTAAAATTTTGAAAATTTTAGTATAATATTTTAAAATTTGAAAGCTTAAAAATTTTAAATTTTAAAATTTTGGTGTAATATTTGAAGATATTTTTTTTTTGAATTTTTTAAATATTTCCCACCTATGATTGTTGATGACCGCCAAGGCCAAAGACCATCAAGCCCGAGTTTGACCGATTTTGACCAATTCCCGCCAAGCACCCTAATCGTAATCGGTTCGAAGCCACCAAACGATTAATCACCTATTAATCGGCACCCAAAGGCTGATTTCTGCAACACACACACACACAGATATATATATATATATATATATATATATATATATATATATATATATATATATATATATATATATATATATATATATATATATATATATATATATATATATATATATATGGTTAGGTTCATTTGAGACCACCTATATTTTGTGAGACCGTGAGACGTATTTTTTTATTTTATTTTTTTATTTTTTTTTATTTTTTTTAGTTAATTCAAGTTCTAAAAATAATATTTAAAAAAAGAATTTTTGGATTTTTCCATTTATTTTGCATTTTAAAATTATTTTTTAGAATACGTACAGTGTAATATTCTATTAGAATAAAACCGGATTTTTTTATTATTTTTTTTAGTTAATTCAAGTTCAGAAAATAATATTTAAAAAAAGAATTTTTAGATTTTTCCATTTATTTTGCATTTTAATGTTATTTTTTAGAATATCTACAGTGTAATATTCTATTAGAATATTTCACGTATTTTTTTAAAAAAAAATGAGATTTATTTTTTATATTTTTTTTAGTTAATTCAAGTTTTGAAAATAATATTTATAAATTTTTTTTTTAGGTTTTTTCATTTATTTTGCATTTTAAAATTATTTTTTAGAATATGTCAGTATAATATGCTATTAAAATATTTCACGTATTTTAAAAAAAAAACGGGATTTTGTTATTATTTTTTATTTTTTTAGTTAATTCAAGTTCCGAAAATAATATTTAAAAAAAGAATTTTTGGATTTTTCCATTTATTTTCTATTTTAAAATTATTTTTAGATTTGGTCTCACGGTCTCAAAAAATTTGAATGGTCTCAAAAGAACCTGAATATATATATATATATATATATATATATATATATGGGAAAAGTGAATATACCCTTAAGGGTATATAAGCTTAGATACTCAAACCCATTATAATACGTCATTTTGTTTAATATATTTATTATAATGTTCTTAAACTTCAACCATTAACTTGATTTACCTTCAAAATTTTCGAAATTTCATTATTATGTTGCTTTTATATCATATCTTTTTGCCGAACACCTACTAGGTTATATATATTATAGTTGAAAATGAAAATTATGTAAGAGGAATATAAATGTGAAATTGAAAAAAACCATGGAAGTAAATCAAGTTAGAAGTTGAATTATAAGAACATTGGACAATTACAATGTATATATATGATACAAAACCATGTAGTATAGTGAGTTTGGGTACCTAAGCTTATATACCCTTAAGGGTATATTCACTTTTCTATATATATATATATATATTATATATATATATATATATATATATATATATATATATATATATATATATATATATATATATATATATATTAGGTAAAATGGGGTTTTCAACCAAAATAGAAAATAAAATGTGGATTTTATGTGACAAAAATGTTATCCGAGAAGAGTAACAATATTTCATTTGTGTATATTAAAAAAAAAGCATTAAACTAGAAAAAAAAATTCTTTGATTTTTGTACTTATATAAAATAATACATGAATCAGGGGTTTGTAGTTTGCATGCACGTCTCAGAAAAGAAGATTGTTTTTTTTTACGATCCACAATCAAAATAAAAGTATTTCCGATGGTAAACATTTAATAAGACTTAACCATTTGGGTTCTGGTGATTTGGTAAGGCATGTGGAAGATATGGTGGATAACCTATTGACTCATGTTCAAATCCTGGCACCACTCAGCTCTTGTGGCCATGGAGGTTCGCTTGCAGTGACTCCAGGGCATGAAACAAAGCTTTATGTTTGCAGCGGGGGATTAGTCGGTGCGCGAAAACTGGCCCGGAAACCCTCGTTAGGGAAGTTCCCTTTCAAAAAAAAAAACATTTAATAAGACTTAATATTTTTCCCATCTTATAATTTTGTTAATTTTGACTTTCAATTAAATACCTCTCCGATTGATAAGTTCTATCAATTGTTTTTTTCTTTTATTTATGAATTTAACTTATAGATCATCTATCTAGAATGTTTTATAAAACTTTTTCATTTAGTTAGTCATGTTCTAAACATGTTATAATTTGATAAGAAATATGTTAAATAATAATTATCATTAATGATTAATATAAGAAAGTTTCATAAATAAAAAATTATGACATAAATAATGACAAAACTGCAAATTTGGTCCTTGTGGTTTTCAAAAATCTTTGGATAGGGTCCAAAAAGTTTTCGACTTGCATAGAAGGTCCAAAATCAAAGTTTTTCTGGGTTTTTGGTCCAAAAAAACATGAAAAGACGGTTTTGCCCTTTTATTTTCCTTTTTGTATTTTTATAATTATTAAAATACTATTTTAATTTAAAAATAAAAAGAAAAGAAAATAATTAACACACACCCACTTACCTCCACCTCTCTCTCTCTCTCTCTGTCTCTCTCACACACACACACACGAAGAACTTCTTATCCCAATCCCGTCTTCAATTGGCAACCTTGAAAACCTCCAAGACTTGATTTTAATCTCCATCAAACTCATCAAAAAAATCCCAGGTGAGCTTTGGAGCTACCGGAGTCTCAAGACTCTTTACTTGTTCGACAACTGATTCCCCGGAGTAAACAAAGACCTCACCGGAGGAAACAACGGCCTCATCGGAGTCTGGTTCAACATCCTAATTTCACCACCACCACTATCATCCCCTCTTTATACCCACCGTCGGTAGAACCCTCTATCCCTCACACACTCACGCACATGATGAAAGAAGTACATCGACTCGCTCCTTGTTCATCCTTAGTTCCCAATTAAATCATCAACAAATCATCTTTCTCCTGCACATCTTACATTCCAATTTCAAGATCAATTACATATCCCTAGGCTAGAGTACAAAGAACAAAACTGATTTCCCAAACCCTAGATGATAATACGATCGAATCCAGCATCAGAACACTTGTAACTCGCTTTAATCTGATTATCTTAGGGTGGAAGTTTGAAAGTAAATATGTTCAAGAGTTCTTCGCCTACAGGTTCATCATTTTCTTCTTGTAAGTAATCAGAATGATGCTTATGACAATACTTTTCAGAAATCTTGAAACTCTGACATGTTTTTAGGGATGTAGTTTTGGATTCTGGGATTTTTATGGTTTGTTCCAATTTTTAAGATTTTCTCCATTGAAGTGTTCTTGGGTATTTTTCCAGATTTCAGTTGATTCCGTGTTAGGATGATATTTGTGTTATTATTGTGGGTTGAATATGTTAAACGATTTTTTGATTGAATTAGTATGTTGAATAATTTTGTTTCTGATTTGAGATGAAGTTTTGATGGAGCATCGATATTAATTTTGAAAGACTGGAGCTATTTTTTTATAGTAATCAATGTTTACACTTCATTTTTATTATAGATTTTGTGATAAGTTTGATGTTGGTATGTGTTCGAGTTCCTTGTGTGTGTGTGTATTTGGAGTTGCAGGTGTGTTTATGTTTAGAGAGAAATAGATAGAGAGGAGGGGAGGAGGAAGATGAGGAGAAGAAGGAGGAGGAAGAGAGAAGGGGAGGGCTCCGGTGGGGTGGGTAGAGAGAGAGAGAGAGAGAGAGAGAGAGAGAGAGATGGGTGAGCCAACTTAATTCCTTTTTTTGCATTAATATTTATAAAAGAAAAATATAAAAAATACAAAAAAGAAATTTAAAGGGCAAAGCAGTCAATTCAAGTGCTCTATGGACCAAAAGTACAAAGATTTCCTAAGTTTAGGACTAAAAACCCAGAAAAACTTTGATTTTGGACATTCTATGCAAGTCGGAAACTTTTTGGACCGTATCCAAAGATTTTTGCAAACCACAGGGACCAAATTTATAGTTTTGTCCATAAATAATTGATATCTTAAGGAAATGAGAGGTATTTAAAACAAGAATATAATTAATGGGTAAAAATGAAACATTATATAAAAAGAAGAGTTAGATGTAGGGATGAGTAACGAGATTAGATACCCGCTTTCGGTACCAGAATTGCCGGTTTCAGAATCGGAACAACCTTAAACGATTCCGGTTCTAATTTTTTTTAATGGAACTGCTATCCTTTAGAACATATATATATATATATATATATTATATATATATATAATATATATATATATATATATATATATATATATATATATATATATATAAGTGTTAAAACTTCAACAAATTTATTGAA